CATGAGGACTGAATTCATAGCATTGACATAAAAAATGGGGCAAGAGCCGGGCGTGGTGGCACACGCCTGTAGTCCCAGCACTCGGGAGGCAGAGGCAGGCGGATCTCTGTGAGTTCAAGGCCAGCCTGGTCTACATAGTGAGTTCCAGGACAGCTGGGGCTACAGGGAGACCCTGTCTCAAAAAGACAAAAAAAAAAGGGGGGGGGGGCAAAATAGTGCACACCTGTGACTGGGTCCTGAGGAGAAGACTAGAAGATCTCAGAGATTTGCTGGCAAACCAGTCCAGCCAAATGGGTGAGCTCTAAGTTGTTAGAGACCCTGTCTCAGAAAATAAAGTGATGGAGAAAAATACTTGATGCTGCCATCTGGCCTCCACACACATATGCACACATGTGAACATACACACACATATACACACAAAAGGTAGAGGAGCTATTGAGCAAGACACCTAGCATCAACATCTGACCTCCACAAGTACACCTATACATGTGCACACACACACACACACACACATGCACCAGCACACCTGCACACACATACACTGGCACACAAATGCACATACAAACACATGCACATAAAGGGTTTTATCTTGATCCAGTGATAGTTATACCAGTGTGTCAATTTGTCAAAATTCATTGAACTAGGGCTGGAGAGATGGCTTAGCAGATAAGAACACTGACTGTTCTTGCAGAAGACCGGGGTTTGTATCCCAGCACCCACATGGCAGCTAACAACTGTCTGTAACTCCAGTTCTAGGGGATCTGACAGCCTCTTCTGTCCTCTGCAGACATTGCATGACATGGGCGCACTTCCTACATGCAGGCAATACATGCATACACATAAAATAAAATAATAATAAACAAAATATTTTTAAAAAATTTGTTGAACTACACAGAATCTCTGCATTTCAGTACATTACACCTCAATTTTAATTTAATTTTCTTTTTTGGAAGGGTACATGGAGCCTCATGCATGGTAAGCACATACTGTACTACTGAACTAGGTTCCTAAATCCATAAAATACTCTGTTTTTAAAAAAAGTTTTATGACTAGATATGGTGGCATACCCCTTGTGGGTTTAAGACTAGCCTGGTCTTTGTAGCGAGTTCCAGGTCAGCCTGGGCTACATAGTGAGAACGTCGCTCAAAAAAAGTTTTATTTATTATCATTGTGTGTATTATGTGTGTGTCAGGGGATACGGGTGTCCTGTGGAGTCTAAGGACAATTCTGTGGAGTCAGTTCTCTCTTTCCCACAGTGGGACCCAGAGATCGAATTCAGGTCATCAGGTTTGAGTGGCAAGCTTTTATAGCTGCTGAGCCATCTCCTAGGCCCAAAATACTTTTAAAAAAATCACAGGAATGAGTCAAGCATAGTGGTTCAAGCTTATAATACTGGCACTCAAGAGGCTGAGGCAGGAGGATTGTAATGAGTAGCCACAGAGTGAGTTCCAGGTCAAATCTTCTCTCCAGAAAAAACGAAACAAAACAAAACAATTCCTATCTCCCAGCCTCCCCACACCCACCCCCCTAAGCCCAGCCTCAGCTCAAGTTTCCAAAGACGCCAATGACCCACGGTAGAAAGGGAAACCCCCACCCAGCCCTATCCATAATTCACCCTAAAGACACTAAGTCTGCATGCTCCAGGGATGTGGGAGCATCCAGACTTCACCCGTGTTTACAGAAAGAGCTTAGGGCCAGATTTGCTGGCACAGAAAATGCCTTGTGCCCTGTTCAATGGCAGGCCAGCAGTGGTCACTCTCAAACTCTGGAGCCCAGCCCAGCTCTTACTCACCATCAGGGGTCTTCAAGGCTCCAGGCTTGTCTCCTGCCCTACCATCCCCAGACCCTGTCCTTACCTATTTCTCTTTCTGTTAAGAGTCCTGATAAGGCCCCATACCCATTTATCTGGCACTTGTGGCCCTCCACCATCTGGCTCTGGCCAGATCCATCCATGGCCTCGCTATGATCTGCAGACACTCTTGGTTATTTCTACCTTTGTACAAGCTGTGCCCCTGCCTGCAAGGCCAGCCTGTCCTTCTTCTCCAGCCAGAGAAGACAACATCACCTCTACCTTTCCAAGTATACTGGGTCTTCCTTCCTCATGGTTTCCCAGAGAATGGCAGTGGTCTTTGCACCCACTCCTCTTTCCCTCCAGGCTATCAAGTCCTCAAAAGCAAACATTCTGTCCCAATCCAATGCTTGCTGGGGTTGACCAGACCAACTAAGGCACATTAAGAATGAGCCCTAGTTTTCACTCGAAGGTGAAGGCATCCCCAAGGCAACCCAGACAATTCCAGAGCCACTGCTCCTCTACACACATAAACTCTAACAACCTCTTTGACTGGGGCAGGTTGGCAAACAGCAAAAAATGGGCTGCAGCCCCAAAGAGCCTGCCTTTCATTCACGACAGCCAAGGAGGTGAAAATCAGCCAACCTGGGGGGGTTCCAGGCCAGCCTCAGTTTCCATCCCCCCACCCCACCAAGCAGTGACTAAATGGCATTCTGGGGAGTCCTTGTGATTTACAGCTCTTTCCTGTATCCAGGAATGCGCTCAGTGACTCACGAACATCATTTGAGAACACTTTGGAAACTTTCGGAGAACTGCAGCTTGCCAAACCTTTGACAAGTTGAGGTTAGAAAACAGGGAACCCAGAGCCCAGGCTGCCTGGTGTGTGGGAACAACACCTACTGTAAGAATGGTAGAGGGTTCCCCGAGAGAGCACAGAGAAGGAAGAGGGGGTATATGAGATATCAGCTCCCGCCTCCTCACTCTCACTCATTCTCTAGACCCATGGACTGGAACACATTTGTCTCCCATTTTCTCTACAACCTAGTCCAACTTCATCTCCCCAGAAAATCCATAGCCTAAGCTCTGTGCAGCCAAAACTCACAGATGGTGGGAAGCCCGATTCCATACTGTCCGACAAGGCAATCTCCTAGGCAGCTCTCAACTGTCCCACCTGTGAAATGGGTTCCACACACACACCCCTGAGCCTCCAGATTCTGTCAAACAGAAGTGGCTCAGTCACAGAGGGGAGAATGTCTGGGAGACTGGCCACAACTGCTCTATATGCAGGACAAGGGTATTCCCAAAGGACAAAAGGCACACTCTGGACTGCACCACAGCCCTTGCCACATACCACAGTGACCCAAGACCTCGTGACACCCTCTAATCGGCAGCTCTAGAGCCGAGCCTGGCTTTACAGCTTACTGCAAGCTTATTCAGCCTCATCTCCCTCAATCCCCTCAAGGGCAAGGCGAGGCTGGCCTTGGCGTCCTTGTCATCTGGACAGCCAAGCCCAAGCTCAGAGAACTACCCAAGGTCACCATTAAGAGGGAGCACACTCAGTTTCCTAGAGACAAGCTCCTCACTCCTGAATTCCTGGTTTACATATCCAATGGGCAGTATACCCCACCCCCACCCATTTTACAGGTGGAGAAATTGAGGCCAAGAACCATTGCCCAAGGTGAACTGGGTGGCTGGGCCAAAGTCTAAGACATTCTTCAGCCATTCTGCCAATCCCACCCTATTGGGGATTCTCAGCTGGTGCTTCAGGTCTCCTCCAGCCACCTACTACCATCTTGCCAAAACACCTCCCCTCCAACCCCCACTCCCCGATGACTCCCTGGTGGAGAGGGAGGCAGGCAGGCGGTTGCTAAGCGCTCACCAGCTCTCTCATAAAAATAAACTCCTGGCTTAGAAGCTCTGGGTGAGATCCCCTCCCTACCAGCCAACAAAAAAAAATTTTTTTATTTAAAAAAGATCTCCATGACATTTATTTGAATGCCAGCTGTGCCAAATTGGAGGCCAATTTACTGACATCCAAATGGAGCCACGCGCCACCCAACTGCAGTGGGGGGGGGGGTCGTCAAGTGCCTGGGCAGTCACTGAGGTGATTTATGCCCCCAGGCAGGAAACTGGGGCCCCCAAGTTGCCTCCCAAACCTTTAGGGCTGGTCCTGGGGGAGGCCCGGATCTGGCAGAGGCCACACAGTGACCAAAATAGCCATGCTGGTGGCCCTGCTGAGCACACACGCCTCCTTCCTGCAACTCCTCCTGGCAGTCAGGCTGGTCTAGGCTGAGGCTTTGGTGCTGTCAGTGAGAATTGCTCCCCTCTGTGGCTTCCCCAATGGGAGACAACCAGAACCTCCCACCCAAAAGAGGAACCCACAGAGGGAAGGGGAGAAGTCTAGAGGAAGATGTGTCCTGGCGGCCCTGCCCACTGGCCATTGCCCCCTGACTGTCCCTCCGGGCCCCAATCCTGCCGTTCAGGCCTGGGGGAAGCTGTCACTGCCACCTGTGAGCCACACTGGACAGTATCTGGAGCCACACCACCCTTTCACCTCTCCCAAATGCCCTGGAGGACCAGTACTGGTCATTCCACCCTCTGGAGACCAGAGATGTCCTCTCAGGTACAGCCGAAGACACCCATCTTGCCCACAACCAGAGACCTAGAGATACAGCCACACTCTGGGACCCACACGTGCCCACGGCCGGGGATCCGGAGACACAGCCACATGTAGAGGTCCACACAGGCAAGGCACATACGGGGATACGTAAGAGCGCACACGGGAGAGCCAGGCACACCACACAGGTATGGCACACACAGGCAGCCCTGGACTCGGGGGAACACCACACACCCTGGGGCGCACATGTGCACGCTGCCTAGGAAGGAGAGACCGCCACCCTCAGAAACACAGACATACAGGGACAAGGAGATACCCCGTGAGACATAGACACACACACACACACACACACACACACACACACACACACACACACACCTGCCACCGCACCCGCAGCCGGAGCCCCCTCTAGCTAGGGAAACAATACAGCCCTGGCCAACCGGACTGAGCAGGGGATTCTCGGTCCCTCCCTCGGTGGCGAAGGGGGCTCTGGATCCGGCACTAGGCGGGGAAGCCAGACCTGGGAGTCGCCGGGAGGTAGCAGAGCGCGACCCGGGGAGGGGGCTGCAGTCGCGGCCCGTGCGCCCTGGGTACCTGAGTGGACGCGGCGCTGCGCCCAGTCGGCTGCGCGGGGCTCGGGGTCAGGCTGGCGGAGGGTGCCCCGGGGCTCGCGACTCTGGGTGATGGGCACCGGTTGGAGGAGCTCGGCTGCAGCCAGGGCCCGGAGCTCGGTGCTGGCGGCGGCGCGGAGGAAGCGGTAATTTATAAGCGGCTTCTTCCTGACCTCGCGTGTCTGTTGTCTGAACAGGCAGCTCTCCGCATCACCCATCCTGCTGGGTGGAAAAATACCAGCTTGGCCGGGCCGGGGGTGGGGCCTGAGGCGGGGTCTGGATGCCCAGCTCCGCCCACACGTGGACACACACACACACACACACACACACACACACACACACGAGCGCGCGCGCGCTACATGCTATGCTTTTACATTTTTTCTTTTTCTGTTTCTTGAGACAGGGTCTCTCTGCAGCCCACTTAGCCTCAAATTCACAGCAATCCTCCTGCCTCAAACAAGTAAGCCTCCGTACCTGGCTTAATTAGCATTTGCTCATTTACATGTTTCTACCTCTTCCCTACAGTTTCTACTAACAATTGTCAACCCCATCTGCTGAAGTGCCACCCTTGTCACATCTGCAGTCTTACATGTGTTTGGGACGGCATCAGGACTTCTGTTCTATCCATCTGAAGCATTCTGTACCAGTGCAGCCTAGCTTTAAAAATTAACCATCACTTATAGTTTAAAATCACTCCATCTATCTTCCTAATCCCTTTTACCCCCAGAAAAATCGATAACTGAGAGCTTAATAAAGAATCTCATTATTCTGACATATTAGAAAAAAAAACATGAAAATGAAAATGTCCTTATCAGCTAGAGGAAATGTCATAGAAAGTCCTTAAATTCCAGAAAAATCTCAAAGATCACTGCAGGACACAGGACATAAAATACATGCTATGCCAATAATTGCTTGTCTTTTGGGGGCCAACGCGATGGCGTAGTGGGTAAAGGTGCTTGCTGCAGGCCTGAAACCTGAGTTTAATCTCTGGAACCCACATGTGAAAGGAGAGAACTGACGCCTACAAATGTTCTCTGACATCTACATGCATGTGTCATGCAACGTCAAAGCTTCCTTCAACTGCCTGTGATCTCAGTGCTGGGGATATGGAGACAGGCAGACCCCTGGGGCTTGCTGACCAAACAGTCTAGCTGAATCGGTGAGCTCCAGGTGCAGTAAAAGACTGTCTCAAATACTAAAGTGGAGACCAAATGAGGAAGGCACCCACCATCAATCTCTGGTCTCTACATGCTCACAATGACACACATGTGTATGCGCATGTGCTTGTGTACACACACACACACACACACACACACACACACACACACTCAAAAAGCAAAATGCCTCTGCTCTAGCCTCAAAATTCCAGAGAAAGAAGTACGTTTTTCTACAGCTGATGAGATGCATAGTCTAACTCTAAAAGCAAGTGTCTGCATTGGCATATCTAGCATTACTCTTACTATCACACTGCCAAACACAAATGCATCCTAGAACCTAGCAAAGAGTCCAGAATAGTTGAGTAGAGAGCTTGCAACATTCATAAGCCATTTCTGTCCATTTATTCCTTGGAATCCTATTTTAAGAACCCACACACACACACACACACACACACACACACACACACACGCGAGCGCGCGCGCGCACACACACAAGCATATATGCATGCACGCACGCGCGCACGGGTTCGGACACACAAAGAGCCCGAGCTCGCCGAGCCGAGCGCGCGCATACATCCTCATGTGGAGCTGCGAACGCTCCATCTGCATGCTGGTGCGGGGAGTGGTACGGCTCAGGCTGCCCGGGAGGGTGATGAGGCGCAAGAGACCCAGACTCCTGACTCGCTCCTCTCCTGACAGCCACTACCGCCCCCACCGCACCTCTCCCGCATATTGCCTAGGCTCCCAGGATGGGCCTGGGGATACAGCAGCAACCAGGTCCCTGACTCCTCCTTCTCTGCGTCTTCGCCAGCCAGTTTACAGCTAGGTCTGCAAGCGTGGCTGCGCTCCTGTGGAAATAGGCACAGGAACCAATCCGTGCCTCTCACCTGAGGCTGTGTTTGGGAAGAGCTCCTGCCCGGCTGGAGCTGTGTGACCTCGGGCAAGTTCCTCAGACTTTCTGTATCTTGGTTTCCTCATCTGTAAAACGGAAATAAAAATAGTGGAACTTATCACTTCTGGCTGCTGAGAGGATCCAAGGTTAACAGTGTAAAGCCCCGGGAACACGGCACCAGGCACCTAGGAAGTGCCAAGCGAGTGTCAGCAAATGTGACTATTTTTAAATGGACATGGAGAGTGTCCCTTTATTCTTGTCCTTATTTGAATGAGCAGGTCCAGGAGCTGATTTTCCACATCAGCCTGCCTGAGCCCAAGGTGGCGCTGTGTGACCTTCAGTAAGGTCTTCCCCTCTCTGAGCTCCAGCTTCCTCTTCTCTCTTCTCCACTCTCGCACTCAAGTGGCTGTGGTGAAGGGCATGCCTATCCTTCCACCTCTTAAACTGAGTCTAAAAGCAGAAATACCAGAAGACCTTGACAGAGCCAGCCCTCGACCTGCTCCAGCCTGGCCTACATCCATCGCCCTAGGCTGGCACAGGATACCAAGAGCAAAATTCCAGAGGGAACATCTTCCTTTCTCTAGCAGCCTCTGACCAGGCCCCTTGCCATTGGGCTCCAGCCTGACCTTCCACTAGGCTGAGCCAATGCCATCCTCACGCAAGCTGCACACTGAACACTCCTGCCAGTTGCCTTCTCTTTCCTTCCCCCACAGCCTTCCTCACACTTCTCTGGGGCCCAGGTGCCCCAGACCAGGGGTACTCCCTTCTTCCCCAGTGTCACTGCCTCAGATAGGTACTGCTGCTTCTTTTAAAAACAAGGTCATCACACCCATTTTGTAGAAGAAAAAACTGAGGGCTGGAGTTGAGAGAAGGGATCCCAGACAGTGGGTGTGGTGACACACTCTGGTAGTCCCAACAATCAGAAAAATCAGGAGTTCAAGGTCAGCCTGGGCCATATAGTAAATGCTGACTTTAAAAAATACACTCTTAGGGCAGGAGAGATGGCCCAGCAGTTAAAAGCACTGACTGCTCTTGAAGAGGACTTTGGTTCGGTTCCCAGCACCCACATGGTAGCTAACAACTGTCTGTAACTCCAGTTCCAGGGCATCCAATGCCTTCTTCTGTCCTCTGTGGGCACTGCACTCACATGATGCACTTAGACACATGCAGGCAAAACACTTATACATATTATGTAAAAATAATTTTTTTAAAGTCTTCAAAAATATATTCACAATTCTCCCAGACTCTTGTGCATGTCACTGCCTTCAGCACAAGGGACTGAGGCTGAAGTTTGAACCAAGAGCAGATTTCAGGAAGGCAAGGGCCATTGAACAGGAGTCATGTGTTTAAGGAAGAGGAAGTAGGGCTGCAATGCTGCAAAGCTGCAAAGGCACTCTGTCACAGGGCTGTGCTGATAGCCCAGAGAGCCAGGGCAGTGCAGGTCACAGGAGGACACAGGGTTGTAGTATATCTGGGGCTACAATTGGGGAAGGCTCCTGGGAAGGCCTAGACCCACAGGTAGACTCACACAGTATCACATAGGTGATGGCTACAAAGGATGAGGCTCAGGCATCCATCCATCTTCCTCCTGTGCAGTGTCAGCGCTGGTAGGATCTGTTCCTTGCACTCATTAAGAGTGCGAGGCTTTTCACAGAATTGACACAAAGAAAGTACTTGGCTACACTCATATTTATTTATTTATTATTTTATTTTGGGTCTTTTGGGGGGTTGTATGTTTTTTAATTAATTCATTAATTAATTCATTAATTCATTAATTTTGGTCTTTTTGAGACAGGGTCTCCCTGTAGCTCCAGCTGTCCTGGAACTCACTATGTAAGAGCAGGCTGGCCTTGGACTTAGAGATCTGCCTGCCTTTGCCTTCCGAGTGCTGGGATTTATTTTTTATGTGTATGAGTGTTTTGCCTGCAAGTATGTAAGTGCATCAATGTCATACAAAGCCCACAGAGGTCAGAAGAGGGTGTTGGATCTCTTGGAACTGCAGTTATAGATGACGGTTGTTAGTCACTGTGTGGGTGCTAGGAATTGAACCCAGGTCCTTTGGAAGAGCAGCTAGTGCTCTTAACCACTGAGATAAACACTTTTTTTTGAGACAGGGTCTCCCTGTAGGCCCAGCTGGCCTGGAACTCACTATGTAGACCAGGCAGGCCTTGAACTCACAGAGATTCGCCTCCCCAGTCCTGGAATTAAAGGCATGGGCCACCACGCTCAGCTCAGCTGTGATTTTAAAGTCAGCCTGAGCTATAGAATGATATCTTGAAAAAAAGGAGTGTCAACAAGACAGCCCAGTAAGTACTGGCACTTGCTGCCAGCCAAGCCTGATGATCTGCGTTGGACCTCTGGATGATGAAATGAGATAGCCAACTTCAACAAGCTGTCCTCTGACCCACATACATATGCTAAATAAATAGATGAATAAATAAATGTAAAAAATAATTTTTACAAATTAGTTTTTAAATGTGTATGAATGTTTTGCCTGTATGTACGTTAAGTGCACCTGTGTCATGCAATACTCACAGTCTAGAAGAGGGCATCGGATCCCCTAGAACTGGAGTTACAGATGATTGTTAGCTGCTGTGTGGGTGCTGGGAACTAAACCCTGGTCTCTTAACTGAACCAGTACTCTTAACTGATGATCCATCTCTCCAGCCAGTAAAAAGTAAATTTAAAAAAGAAGTGCCAGGCATGGTGGTGCACCTCTTTAGTCCCACACTTGGGAGACACAGGCAGGTGGATCTCTGTGAATTTGAGGCCAGCCTGGCCTAATGAGTTCCAGGCCAGCCAGGGCTACATAGTGAGACTGTCTCAAAATAAATAAACAAATAATAAATAAATAATGGAAAGTCTGGTTTCTCTTGGAAAACTGGCAGAGTGGGCCACTCGCTAGCCCATTAGCTACCTGTCTACAGCTACCTGGCACTGACAGGGTACCCATTCCCCCACACGGGGACATGAGCCCTCAGAGGTGCCAAAGTTTCTTCTTAGCTTGTGCAGGCCTCCTTGTAACCAACTGGCCCTGCAAAAGGGGAGGGCTGTGTTGAAACCAGACCCTGGTCAGGAGTGGGAGATGGAAGCTTTGGAGAAAGTCAATGGGCACCGAGGGCAGCAAAAACACTGGCACCTAGGAGGCCCTTCAAGGAAAGCCAGGCGGAAGTTCCCTCCACCA